TGGCAAGATCCAATGTTAATTGCTTTATTCGAAATATTATGATGTTCTGGCTGGAAAGGCTGTACGAGGCTGAAGCAGTGATGGACTGTGACGATGCCATCTGCATGTACTTAAGCTACAGCTAGGGCTGTAAAATCTGTCCAGACACTTACTTCCCTCTCTCTCTCTCTCTCTCTCTAACACAAAGTTACTCTAGTCAGCAAAACAACTCAAACAGAAGGACACTAATTCCAGTCTGCTAGCAGAGGGCAACACCTTCCTCGCTGCCTCTTTGCCTAAAAGGCTGCTGGACCTTAGACTTTGTGAAGGGTGGCTGCAAATTGTGGAGTGGCCTGGATGTTTCTGAGGTGCTGGGATGATCCTGGGAATTGTCTTTTGCTCTGCATGGCCCCAGCTCACCTCAGCCACTTCCTACCTGGACTACTGTGGAAGTGAAAATTGGCTGTTCCACTTCCACTAAGGCTAACCAGATTTTTGGGCAGCAGGAAAGGAGTAAAGCAGAGTCCTCCCAATGTTACAGGTAGAACCCAATGCAGCAATGGGTGGGACTTTTAGATGCATGACACATTGTAGGTCCAGGCTGTCCCCTTAGCTAATGAAGGCCTGCCCCTGCCATGGGAGGTGGGGACAGGCAGTGGCTATGTGCTGTGCAGCACCTCTTTGGCCACCATGCATGGTGCATGCTGCCCAGGCATTCCAGCCCATGGGTACTGCAGAGAGGAAGGGAACAACTAACTGTGTTTGGTCCAGATCCTCAGCGTAGGTAAAGCCTGGTCTCAGTAGGAGTGTCCCCATCCCAGATACCTATCTCTGTCTATTCTTTACTCCCAGGCCAAGGTTATGTCTGTTTGCATTATGGTGAAGCCCTGGTCCACCTCAAAGAGCCTGCACATGGGAGCTTGGACAGTGCTGTGGGCCAAATCTTCAACTGCTGTAAAATCAGAGTACATCCACTTTTTTTTCTCTTCTGCCTATTCGCTGAAGATCTGGCCCCATGAGAACCGGTGAGCCCATTACACAGACAACTACCTACCAAACACAGGGAGGCAGGATTGGAGTCTAGTCTCCTGCAAGTCTCCCTTCACTCTTGTACACCAGGAGCCTCTCAAATTTCTGCAGGATGTGCCAGGTGCAATGAAGAGAGCCTATGGGAGTGGGAGCATCCTGGTCTTTTTCCTGCTTAGGAATGTGAATACGGTCCGATTCTGTTCAGAAAGAAGCTCATGGCAAAACTCCCGCTAATTTTGGTGACAGCAGGTGAAGCCTGTAAACTCAGAACTGTTTGTCAGTCCAAGTACCCCTGTTGTGGCAGGAGATGGAGAAGGGGCACTGCCTGGTCCCTGGAGAACAAGGGGTTAACCCCAGCTTAGCTTTCCCCATCTTTGCATAGATGTTTTGGGGGAAGAACTGTTAACTGCTGGCCTGAGAGGTGTTTGGGGAAAGTCAGGGTCCCAGCAGGGGAGTTTTCCTTGGTTAATTTGCCTTGCTATCCTACGTGCTAGT